GTTCTATTTTGAGAGAACAAAAAGACATTTTGCACATGCACGAACTGCGTTATGTGAATAAAATCAAAGTTCAAAAATCACTTTTGAGCATAATTCTATTTTTGCATGTACATCCTGATCACTATCGCTACAATGCCCTAAACCAAACTAGTTACGAACTGCCACAATTCCAGCCAAACAGAGATTTCTCGTCCACTTCCGCTGAGAGAAGGTAGTGATTGGTTTACAGGTCAGCCAATCAGAATATAGAATACTCATCTTTGATTAGCTGCAACTGTGGCAGTTTGTGATTTGACGACACATGGCCAGACTTGGTATATTTATGTCATATGATGCATTCCTTTGTTGACCTCATGACCCGGTACCTGGTTCAAGGGAATCAGTGCAGCTTAAAGTACAATTTTATATCCAACTGATGAACTGATGAAAACTGTTAGTGACATTTCTGGAAAAATTGAATAATCGTCATAACACTGGAAAAATCTTTCAATACTTGTAACATAATAAACAGCAATCAAAGGAGAAAAAAACTCTGAGAATTTAAACTCTGTGAAAGGTCTCAAATGAGATGATTTTAATTTGTATAGTTCTCATGAGGCAGTGCATGAGCAAAAGCCATATTTCGTGCCTTTTACTTTGCAAGCTGGATTAGCTTGACTTTCATTCATCATTTTAAAGCGTGACGTGACAGCTTCACTAAATGAGGATCGCACTGCATTGAAATGTAATTAGATCAAAGGACGAGATTCTGATTTATGTTTTCAGGACACAAAGGGGGAGGAGTTGTCCTTATAGAATACAGTCTTATTGTATATGACAAAGTTTTCTAGCGAAACGATACAAAAATCAAATTTAAAATAAAATCTACACAATAGTAAACACCTTTGCTCATTTATCAGTAGAGTACACAGTAAAGATGTCAACGCGCCTTTCTAAATGTGCATGAGTGTGTGCAGTGCTGCATTTATTTGAGTAAATTCTACCAAAAGAAAAAGGGCTAGAGTTTGGTATCAGAATTTATATGTGAAATACTGTATTTTATTGGCATTTATCCCAAATTCTGCAGCATCACAAAAAAAGCACCAAAATAAAAAAACATATTAAAATTAAATTGATGCAATGAATTATGGATGTAGTACATTTCTACAAACAATATTGTTTTATCTCTGTACGCACCAGTGCATATGTATGTAAAAATTTGTAATTACAAAGTTTGTACAATTTCAGGTTTGTTGTAGAACAAATGAAAACTAATATTTGTAAAACAAAAAGGAAGCTGGGGTTGTACTAAAAAAATGAGATCGAAAAAAAAATACAAAATTTGGTTTTGATCTCAAAGAGAAACATACAATAATTTTAATCAAAGAGAAAGGATTGGCAGTCAGCTGTTGTAGATGCCTAGTTGCCCTTATTGCCACAGGCACTGGAAAGCATTAAATTCAGATGGTTTAAATTTCCTATCCTATAATTCGGAGGAAGGCTTAAGCAAACCAAATACAAGCGAGGCCTCCTGGGTGGATATAACACCACTATTATCCAGTATATGATGGACACCAAACAGAGTCACAGCATGCTAGCTTCGCTCTCAGTTTAAATGTAACCATGAAGCTGCAGCTTGTACCTCATTCTCTCAATAGCTTGATGTCTCTCTCAATAACCAAGAGAGAAAGTCATTAGCTGGTTTTACAGGAGCCAAGACAAGATGTTGAGAACATATGAGCAGGTGGTCAAATAATATTTCTATCATTGTAGAAGCAATTCAATTTAATTGCATAAGATTTAATGAATTTGCAAATAGGTATAGGTTTAATTGAATGGTGTGTGTATATATACACCATTTATGTATTTATTATATTTATTTATTTTTTTTCTATCAAATACTGCAGGGGCATGTCCCCTAAATTTTCCATACGTGTGCACTTCTCAGAGCAAGGAGAAGTGGTGGTTATCATCCATTATACTACATTAGTATATGCGGACTGTTTTACAACAAAACGGGAACTCATTAATTTTTTATATAACTGAATAAAATTGCAATTACTTGTTTCATTGCCCATGTTTTGTGTACACAAGATTTTAAAAAGTGAGAATGAACTTGGTGCAGAACTTACCAAAAAGCTGAAAATACAAATAACAAATATTAGTGTTTTTGTTTGATATGGAAATAAATAGATGGAAACAGAACTTTTATTTCTAAATCATATTTTGTCAGTACAGCTAAGAAATTGCAACAGGAAACAGTGTCACAGATGCTTTATGGTGCATGTACTTACAGACGGCTAGAAGTCTAAAGATGCTTTTTCTTATGCCTCATGGTAGTCATTAAAGATTCTCAAAGCATCTCTCAGAGCTTCTAACATGAAAAAATAACATGTTTGCAAGAGCTTGCGTGCTTGAGATGAGGAGACTGCACTGTCTCTGTGTGATAGGCTTGTGAAGTACTCAGCTGCCTGCTTACACATTAGTTTGATTGCCAGTTTGCTCTGTACGGAGCGAGCTTTGAAGCACATCTAAAGATGAAAGCCCAACTTCACCAGTGAACCCATTGTAGCAGGGGTTCCAGATTAGCTTTAGGCACCAGCCCGACCCTCAATAACCTTCCAGTACTGAGATAATATATAATTTATCAAAATCATCTTCTTTCACAGCCTAATTCTCTTATGCTGCTTCCATCTTTGTTGACTTCCTACTCTACAACATGTATTCAATGCAACTGAGAAACTAACAGTTGTTTGTAAATGGTAGTTTGCTTATTTATATCATTTTTATTTTAATTGTTTAACTACGTACATTTTACATTTGCATTTTGCAGATGCTTTTTCCAAAGAAACGTACAGATTGAGAGAAAAACACAAGAAATTGAAAAAAAAAACCAAAGGTGGCTATCATAAGAAGTTCTTATAGAAGAAGATGATTCAGAATAAATTAAGTGCCTTTTTTTTGTATTTTTTTGTATTTTATTTTGTACCCATTCAGAAGTCAGGGAATGAAATTGATCTGGATCCAGGTAACTCCCCGACCCCCAAAAGCTTCATGGTGTGGTGAAAGGGTGGAACTTTATTGCGTAAACATAAAAACAAAATTATATATATATATATATATATATATATATATATATATATGACCCCGAAAGGGAAGAAGCGGGTATGAAAATGAATGAATAAATGAATATATATATATATATATATATATTTTTGTGCCATATAATACTTACATAAATGACATCATTTATTTTATTGGCTTTTTAAGATATATATCTTTTTGCTCTCAGTATGTTTAAAACAACCAGTAAAAATCTTTTGTCCATCTAAGCACTCTTGAGATAAAAATCTTCAAAAAGTATTAAAAACTATGCATCATAATGAATATTGCATTGGCCCTCACACTCAGTACATAGCAAGTTGCCAAATTGCAGAAATTAATTATTAAAAACCCAAGGTCTTCAGCGGAAACCATCGGGGCACTTTTGATAAATTATTTTATGCAATTAGTTTTTAATCAAGAGAACTTTTTTTTAGTGGTTGAGGGGGGCAAAGGGTGTGAAACCAGTATTTTAAATCAAGGTCCTTCCAAAGATGGAATGCTTCGAGCGTGTTTAGGAAAATTGAAAACAGGTCATGGTTTATATTAATATTAAACATGATCACAACAATAAGGAATGCTTACTCCCAGCATTGAAATGGGTCATGGTGCAAATGTCACACTTTTAGAAGGACAATGCTCTTATTAAAACTATAGTGATGAGGTGTACGCACACACATGCTTCCTAAATCCTTGGGTTCACCCCCTGAGTTAATGACGCTGAAGCTGAAATGTAATTTGCTTTATTCGTTTGAGGGATCGTGGAGATCACGCTGATTGATAAAATGTGCAGAGACAGCCTGGCCTATGACATCATTCGCACTCTCCAGTGGAATTACAGAAACAAGATTGAGTTCCTTATTTTTGTGTCAACCTTTCTGCCCCCTGCTCCATCACCGAAGGTTGTTGATGAGGTCATGATGCACTTTGAGATATTTGAACTTGAGTTGCAGTCTTTGAAAAATTTAATTTTAGCTACTAGATAGTAATTTATGATTCTGATGACATACACTGAAATCACACACATCATTAATACATCAGAAAAATTCAAGCAAACATAAAAGGTTCAATGAACGACAGACACTTAAACATTCACATTAAATTACATTACATACACAAACCTGACAAACACTTTCGGTGGCTGCTCAAACCAAAAAGAGGTTTCTTGATGCTTATGAAAATCTTTACAGGGTTCTTGGTCATTTCCAACAAACACCAAAATCCATGTGGTTGGACTAGGAACTGTTTTGTATGTATAAAAGTCTGAACTTCCTTTTTCTAACTTTTAAGGAAATCTGAAATTTCAAATGAAAAGTCTTACTTTTTTACTACTTTGAATAAATAAAAATTGGTTGAATAAACATTCTACATATTCTAATGTATTTAAGAGACATATGAGTCCCTTTCAAACATATATGTGGATTTTAGTGTTAACAGCATTCGGAAAGTAGCTAAAAAACAATAAACTGTGATGCACTTTGTTATTGGTATCATTTTGTCAGGTGTTCCTCTTGTTTACCTCCAAATCTCTTCACCCACCACTTCCTTTCCCAGTACACTCTGGCCAGGAACATAAACTCCACTCAGATGAACCGTTCACTCTATCTTCATCTCCACTGTCTGCTCATTCATAATCTGAAAGTGACATTAAGACCTGGCATGGAGTAATAGGTATGAAAGAATTTGTGCATTTACCCATCCAAGTGCACACCCAGCAGTAAACAAACAGACAAAAGGTGACCAGGAAGCAGCTGGGGAAACTCCACCTTTGACTCCCAGTGGAGCTGGGGATCAAACCAGCAACCTTCTGATTACCAGTCAATCCCCTGATCCACTAGACCTTTAAATCTGACTCAATACATTTACACTTATGCATTTGGCAGATGCTTTTATCCAAAGCGACTTGAATGAACATATTTTTTTTCTGTCAGTTTCTTCAACCCACAATCTTTGTGTTGTTAGCGCAATGCTCTACCAACTGAGCCACAGGAAAGCTAGACACTAGATTCCTTCATAATCTGGCTCTCTAGACACCTTTGGTCTAGGCAGTGACGTCGTTAGCCCTAATTTAGGGGGGCTTCAGCCTCCCTAAAATATCCCAAAGCCCCCCCTATAATTTGGGGCGACATTTTATTTACTATTATTATCTTGATATTTAAAATATATTTAAATAAGTGCATACATGCAGCGAACACGAGCCAGCAAGAAAGCGAGTTAAACTGAAGTTCGCTTTCAAAATTATTATCGTTATGATTCCCATCATGCCTCATTAGCATGCGTCAAGCGTGACGTGGTAGGCGGCCGCATTAGCTGCTGGACCAACACAACAGTGTGGAGGCAGCAGCAGTGAACACACGGTGTACACACGGTCAGCGATTGCACGTTGATAGCAGCAATTGTTGCTTAATCTGAACATTTACCTATGGTAAGAGAAGGAAGAACGATATTGTAGCCTAGTCTATTTCAACCTTAATGTTGGAAGCTAAAGCGAACGTCGTCTAAAATGCTAACATCGTGAAAAATCTTTTATTAGCTGTCTAATATCCTGTCGAATCTCTGAAGTACACATAATGTTAGTATCTATTCCCAATTACCGCGAGTGAAATTTAGTGTCATTAGTACTAGTTCCCAAAAAGTTCTCCCAAAGGGATTAATAAAGTAAATTCTATTCTATTCTATTTTCACCGCATGCAATGTACGAGAAGTCCTCCAGGGGCTAAGCCCCCCCCTATCTGTCAACCCTAGTGACTTCCCTGGGTCTAGGTATTTCTTTATGTTTGGTTCCCCTCTGTGGATGGTTATTGTAATAAACCCTGTTGGATTTCCCGTACCTCCCCATCCCAGCACACGTGACAAACTTCGTGAGCACATACTTTAAAGGGAACCTTATATAACACGACACCAATACCTAAACTTGCAGTTCAAAGTTTGAATTCCATAACAAGAGCCTTCATTTCATAACTTTAGGTAAAAGTTTTATGATGATGACTGCCAGATGGCGGAGGATCATGTCACACACCTTTGGGGAATATTCAGCACTTATTAGCAGGAGTTCAGGCCCCCTGTCTCAGAGCATTGTGTAGCTGTCATCTTAAACCTGCTTTACAGCTTCACTTTCACTTAATTAAATGTCTAACCTAAAGTGTCAAAGCCCAGGCTTGAGCGGGGTCTTTCAAAGCATTAATGCAGAGATTTTACTTATTTAAGTCTTTAAATTGATCACAGCTGAACTAAAGCACCATGTTCCTTTGCTGAAAGTATCTGGTTTCTTGATTGAAATACCATTAATGTCGAAACTTAAACAGAAAGCTCTCTGTGAAGACACTTTTTAGTACCGACATTTTCACTACTTACACTCCATCCACTTATTTCATGGTAATGTCTGGAAGTAGGGCTAGAAGGCTCCACAGTCTGACAAAATGTTGCCCGGGTGGCTGCTGTTGGTTTAGCTTGTGCTCTGATTATTTGCTCTGAGTAAAGAAAATTAACATTTTTACAGTAATGTCCGGAGCACCTAGATTCAAATAATTATCTGACTGGAAATCCCAGTTGGGATATTAGCGATTTTCCAAACACACAAGGAAGTTAGAAGATATATCACAGGGTTGGTACCAATCTCCACCACATATTTCGGCAAAGACGCACCCTGGACATGTCAGCAGTCCATTGAAGGGCAACATTCACTCCTAAAGGGAATTTATAGTAATCAATTAACCTAAAACATGCTTTTTGGCTCGTGAGGGAAGCTGGAGTTCCAGGAAAAAAAGCCTGCAGCATTAGAGAACATGCAAACACTATTCTGTAAAGCCACAAACTGGCCTCAAACCAGTAACCTACCAGCTGAGTAACATGATGCTCTAAGATGCTGCCAAGTCTACAAACTTATATGCTTAAATGTTTAATATTTCAAGTCCAATTGCAGAAATTCAGTCATATTTTGCACCATTGCCACAGTTAAACATGGCGGTGGAAGGATCATGCTGTGGGGAGCTTTAGTACTTGCAGTTATACAATTAATTTTGTCATAATAAAATGAATGCACTTCCAGCTAAAACAAACAAAAATAAATTGATTTAAGAAAAAAAAATCTACCTGAAAACAAAAGTAACTACCATAGGTTACACCATAGACATTGATTGTAAATACACTCCATTCTTTGTTGCTTCTTTGTTACTGTCCTGAAAGTTATTTTTGTCATTCTAGCACAAAGCTCAAATGGGGGCGGGAACAACAGTGGTTCATCCCCCTTTGGCTAGTATGATTTTTAAAACCAGAATAAAAAATGTAATTACAACCAAGTTAAAGAAGTACTTTATCAATGTTAATTGGTCTATTTGCTGTGGCCAGGTCTTTGTGCTTTAAGTGTTCCAAATTGTAAGCAGTTCCACTCTGAAAAAGCAATATAAAACAGCAGAAAAAGAGTATATTCCATGTTGCAACTAGGTGGCGCTATAATCAACACTGTAAGCTGATATATAGAGTTTTTCAAACAGGGACTCTTAACACTCAAATTTGACATGGCATGGACATTGCATGGCTGAGTTATTAACAACTTCCTGTTTATGGTGAAATATTGGCTTTTGATGGCCGTCGTATGCACATAGTTTAACAAAGTAAAAGAAAAAAAAAACATCCTACATGCCTTTGAGATAAACTCGAGTTTGAAATTCGGGGATAAACTCGATCTATATTACTTATATTGAAGTCTTGGTACCCTACACATGGCTGGAGAATTTCATTCTCTTACAACAAACTGTTAGCGTACAATAAGTTGACACATGTTAAGGTGGCGCTATTGAGCTGTTTTGACGCACAGTTTTCAAACCCCAATCAGACGTAAGTTCTCACCAGTTCTGACAAATGTACAAAGCTCTGTGATTTTTTTTATGCACGTTTAGACCCTCAAAAATGTGCGGAAGGGTTCTAATGTGCGGTTAGAGCTCGAGCTCTAATGAGCAAAACGCGTTTATCTGACGGACCTCAATGTACAAAAGTCCAGAGTGTGCCAGCAAATCAGGAGAAGCCTGAATGTTTCTGCTCAGAAGCATTTTTACAAGATAGAAGACTGCTATTAGGCCGAAGGGATTCACTATTGAATTTTAATACTATTAAGGGCTGATAACTGTGAGCAGATTATGAGTATTTTTTTGGTTATACATTTATTTAAAATACAAATACAACAATCTTCCTGAATAAATGTTTAAAATGTATTTGTAAAATCATATTTTTGTTAAACACCATTTTTAAATATTTCAAAAATGTGTTTATTTTGGATTCATTTTTATGCAGAGGACTAGTTGATACTTTACCGGGAAATGATCACAAAGCTGACTTCAATAACAGTTATTTTGTCATATTTGACATCAGAGGAACGACAAGGACAAGCATCTTGCCCATGTCTTGCCCTTCCTCTGAACACTCTGCCAGACTCAAATCTGTTTAGCATATAACAATGACCCAGGCTATTAAAGATTTATGCCATTTCATTGCAGTAATATAATGTTTTATGAAGGCCATCATTTACCTGCCACACAGACAGCTCTGGCACCGAGATCTGTCACATTCAAGCAAATCACAGACTAATAAATCTCATCCGACGGAAAGCCATGTTCATAATTGCTCTATGTTCTGTACTTATGCATATGAAATCTGCTCAGGGTGGGTTTGGGTCGGTAAAATCACAGTCTCGGTCTTACTGCAACATCACCCTGTGCCTCAGTCTATTCTTGACAAAGGAAGGACATTGTCTTTTATCTGTTCCTATCACATTTAATGAATGTTCTGCCCCAAGGGACGAGCACTGTATCTGATATAAGATGGTACAGTGTTTTGCTCCGGGTTCATGGGTGTCGTGAAACATCAAAGTCCTCTTCAGCAATAGAGTTTAATTCTGTCTGTGTAATGAGGAGAGTTAGAGAGGCCTTTCAGGTCACTTCAAAGACAGACTAATAATGGAATGAGTATAAATCAAAGATGGATGTTAGTCCCCGCCTCACAATAAGGCATCACCTGCCATATTAGGACAGGAATGATCAGAGGAAGAATCCCTTATGTTTACCGTTTATTTAAGTTGCAAATTCAGATGCATTTAAATTTACTTTGAGTAGCCTATGCTCTAATGAGCAGTTGAACTTCTTTGATAGTAGTTGGTTTCCAAGATCCTCTGCATGGACTTCTTAACGTGTGTGTTTCGTTTCGGATTTATTGATTAGCTTCCATCTAATAACCTTTGAGCACATCTAAAGAAAATTCGGATTCTTCGATAAATCACTACTGGCATACTGGGGTGCCCAAACTTTTGCATATCACTGTATATTGCACTTTTATGCAGATGCTACAAATTCTTCACAGGAGCCTAATGTAGATTACTTCTGATGACAATATACTTTGTGAGACAGAATTGATAATTGAATAAATTCATTTTCCAACTCGCTTATTCCCTTTCAGGGTCATGAAGGTCTGCCAACGCGACGCATTTCCAACGCACATTGGGGCGAGAGACGGAGGTACACCCTGGACAGGTCGCCAGTCCATTGCAGGGCTAAATGAATTAATGACAAATAAATGAAATGTTACTTTCCATTTTTTATTGATCACTAATTCTGGACATTTGACCTTGAGCTAATATAATTTTGGACCTTTGAATAAAAAGTTTGAAAAACCACTGCTATAAACCAATATCTGCACAATATTCTTATTGGTTGCGAGGTATGATGGAGAAGACCCTGCTGTCATTCCTCGCTCAGAGAGAGAGAGAGAGAGAGAAATCAGACTCATTTGCTGCAGGCTCAGAGGTGGCTCTCATTACACCTGAGCTCGCCATGTTTAATTGGCCTCATTAAGTGATTAACTTCACAAATGTACCTTTCCCCTCAAGGGCACAGTGCTGAGCACTATATCACAGGGCTTCCTGGAGTCACTTCATTAACATAACCCCCAGCCACAGTTGAGCCTGTTCTAGGAGTTCAAGGGACAGTGTTTCAGGGCATTGGC